ATTACTACCTACAATGCAAAGGCATGGTGGGGGAACATTTGGTTGGGCTTCAATCAGATGACCATAACCTTGCTATTGACCCGCATTCATAGTGTGTGGACAAAGCATTATCGTGACACGGTGATGAATGCAAACCGCAGGAACGGCATAAGGATGAGGGCAGAATGGAGATGTCATCTTTGAAAAATCGCTCCATGTGCTTGACTCTGATATGTTGAAGTACTCACAAATGAGAAAAAACTGCTTCCTGCCAAGCAGCCGGGCCGTTGACAATCCGGCAATCAATCAATTTTGGCAGAAAGGCTTCAAACTGTAGGAAAAAACTGCCTAACTCTTGACTAGAAGGATTTTCCTGCAGGCCTGATTGGGCCAGTTGAGATTTTTACTTGGCCAACTAACATTTTCTCTGGCCCAGCTACAAATAAGACAAATAGTTATTTGTAGTAACATGTATGAGGGAAAAAACCCTGTAATTAAACGTTTATCATTGTTTTCGCTTATCACATGCCCAAGCAATAAAGCAACTCCATGATATCTATAAATTCATAAACATACTTTTGATGGAAAACAACAGTCTTTAACAGGATTTTTCAAAGGTTTTATTTATATCGCTGACCCAGACACTCCTCACTCAGAATCTTAGCCAACCCAGGTATAATTATCCACAATATAAAAGTTACTTTATAGTAACTGAGGAACAATAGCTAACATTAAGGGATAAATGGTATATATCGGTATCATATTAGTCAATATTTAGATTTATTTTTAAATTTATCGGTATTAGCCGATATTGGATATGCAGTTGTCCATATTCATTTACAGTTCAATTAAATAATTGAATAATTGAAAACAACTAAAATCTTCAACGTACTGCAACAATCCAAATGTGACAACACCTCTCTAGTCTGTTAGGCCAAATGACATCAACTAGCCCTAAAACTATAGTTTTGATAATTTTTTTCTTGTCACTTACAAGCAGTTTGTTAGTCTGGCTGTGTGAAAGATTCACACAGTGCTAGACCATCACAGACAAGATAGCAAGAGAAGCCCTGATAACTATAAAAAGCATTTGACTACTTATTGCCAATTCATGCTCTGTACTTAAACTGTGTCTTCGAACAACCAAAGCATGTTTGTGATTCACACGACAGCCAGAAAACTCTTGAAACCTGAAAAGAAGATCAAAGGGAACATTTTACCATCTGTTCTGTACTGAGGGACCTCAGGCAACTTTTTGTCTTCTTTTTTTTTTTTTAAAGAGAGAGAATGTGAACAAAAGGCAGGAAGAAGGAACTGAATTCTCTGACAGCTTTGTGAGATCTGTCAAACGTCTGAAGGATGGCCATGGAGAAAAAGCTACACATCACCTTGAGCATAACGACTCATTCTATTTTAATCTCGCCGTATTTTGCATCGGCCTGTGTGACCTGCCCAGGCGTTCATGAATATTCCATCCTGATGGAGGGCTCGTTGTGAGTTGCTATGGCCCACAAGCAAAAGTTTGCCAGGCTGCAAGTACCTTACATAAACATAACACTAAATTATGCATGGGAGGTATGAAAGAACTGGAGAAAGTAATGAAATAATACTAGTTTGGCCATGAATCATGATTATCTGTCCACAGGGTGCTGAAGTACTTTGTAAGTGTATTACAAGTGGGCATGCTAAAGTGATTATGGGGGAAGTTTAATGTATAATTATGAGGAGCAAGATTTTAGACCAATGAGATTTCAATGTGGGTGAGGCTTGCCAGTGTGATGTCGCAGATATAGAAACAGAGATTGACAGAATGTCCTCTCGTCAGGGTCAGCTGGGACAAAAGCGTAAATTTCATCATTCATCATGAAAAAAATTTTCATTTAGCATGAAATCAAAACTGACAATTCTTATCTTTTATGGAGCATTGCAGTATTTATTATAAATGGTTTATATGAGCAAATCATTATTTCTTTTATTTTTTTTAAAATTCACGTGCCCTCATAAACCTTAATCAAAATAACTTGCCATTCCAGTTGCAATGACATCTCTTCTGTGATGAGGTTTTTATCGGTGCAAATGTTAGACAACCTGTCAATCACACGAGATCACTAATAAGCAAACAACAATGATCCAATAATTTCCTGATGGGCAAAATCAAGTCCCTCCCTAAATTTTTTCTTGTTCTTGAAGCAATTTCTCATGTCACAATAGGGAGGAAAAGACTATTGCAACTTCCGTTTCATGCAGAATTTAAGCTGTTTTACTATCAAAGGAGTACAGCAAAAGACAATCAAGCCTTGACTGTGACTACTTTTTGGCATTTGGATTTTAAAAAAAATGAAAAATTAATGCAAGTTGAAAGCCACAAATTGCTTAGCTTGTATAAAACATGCAGCTCAAAAATGTACCTCTAACAGGCTTTTTGCTGTTATTTAGCGCAGTACTAAATTGTGTCATCTGCTTGTATGAGCAAGATGAGGTAAAGGACTTCACAGTCAGGTCTGAGAGTCTTTTTAGAGGAGACACGGGTGGCAAGGCTCGTCTCTTGCCACTTACAAATATTAGAAATTCAGCCGATTGCTGTTTCTCCTCCAAACTGATCTTTATATCACACACATTCTGACCTGCTCATCATATAGGTGAATAAAAAAAAATATATAATAAAAATAAAGAAAACCCAAAGTATATTTTTTCACAGGTCTGAAAATAGCCATTTCAAAGCAGCATAAATCATAATAACATGTCGCAATAATGAACAACATGAGAACTGCTGTGTGACTGGGAATAGCTAAGAGGCTAACGTGATTCACCTCCCAACGTCAGACCCTTAAATTAGCTCCTGCAGTCAGTCTCCCACCAGAAAAAAAAAAAGTGAAGCTACTAATTAAGTGCATAATAATCAAGTCAAGTCTCCAACCAGAGAGGAGAAGAAGAAAAAAGGACAGGGCAGTTGCTGCGAAACAACAAAGTCCACTGTTATTTCTTGCCAATATTTCCTTTCAAGGAATTCCTAAAACATGCAGTCAGCCGTTCTACTTCGCTTTTCAATACGCAGCGCAACTGAGAAAGCATAATGCCTGTCAGCAGTGGAAATCACACTTTTTGGAAACAAAAGCTTTGTTTTGTGGCATATTCAACACTGTGAGTGCAGTTTTGTTTTGTTAAATTGCAAATGAGTTTAGCAGACCTATGCAGCGATCAGAGACAACTTATCAAAAATTCCAGCAGAATAACAATGTATCAGACAGCATCTTTTGACTGTGCAGTCGCTCCTCGCTAAAACAATACAAAACTCAAAAGCTACACTATACATTTGTTTTTGTTAAACTGGCAGCTAGTTTCCAGAACTTATAAGTACAGGTATAATGTTTCAGATGTTACAAGATTGGATATGTTATATTATTAATATGTCATGCCAACCTAGCACTAAAACAATACAATAATCATAAGGTAATATAAAATTCAAAGGTGATATTAAAAAAAACATTTCAACAATATGTTACCATTTTCTTTGTAAATTAAAGGAATAGTTCACTTAAAAATTAAAATTCTGTCATCATTTACTCACCATGAAGTTGTTTCAAACCTGTATGAATTTCTTGCTTCTGCTGAACACAAAGGAACATATTTTGAAGAATGCCGGTAACCAAACAGTTGCTGGCCCCCATTGCCTTCCATAGTATTTGTTTTCATACTATGGAAGTCAATTGGGCAGGAACTGTTTGGTTACCAAACATTCTACGAAATACCTTCTTTTGTGTTCAACAGAACAAAGAACTCATACAGGTTTAGAACAGTTGAGGGTGAGTAAATAATGACAGAACTTTTATTTTTGGGTGAACTACAGTAGCAATTAAGAATGTTTTGTCCATTAATATATTGAAATAAAAATAATAATTTTACTCCTCTTTCTCTTCTGGATATTTAAAAAATAACGCTCTATCAAATTCTGGGCATGTCATTCCTTTTCATCAAAGGTAAATCTTACATGTATAATCCATTTCTAAGCAATCACACTCTTTAAAACGGTTCAGCACCTGGAGCTGTCCAGTGCATCGTTACAAATGACCGTCAGCTAAACCACACAACAGACGACCTGGACATAACTTAAACATATTTATATATAGTGTTTGATTTGATCACTTTTACAATAGTCGTTTAAGAATTAAAGCCTGACAGCACAGGACAATTCAATGCTTTGAAACAATTATATTAAGTGGGATTATAACGATCACTCGCCACGTCAGCTCACTATAATGCGGTTGTGCAGGGACTATTGTTGTTTCATCATTACACAACACAGCGAACCTGCTGATGATGCCAATGATGACAATTATATATTCATTCCTGGCTAAAGTTTTCTATTTTCAAACATTTTCCGACATATATCGATTTTAATGTATCATATTAAGATAAACCTTTCCTCCAATAAATGACAAAACTGTGTGTTGGAATGTAATCTTGAACATCATCCTTCATGCATGAGAGCTCTACAGTAAGAAAAAAAGTTATTTATAGTGTTGTACGGGACAAAACACATCATCCACTGTTATTTCTCCCAATAGGTTATTTTTTTGTGTAAAATTGAATGAGGCAAATCTTATTGACCGCGTGAAATAAATCATTAAATATAATTTCAATGGTCGTTTAATTCGCCGTGTTTCATAAAGATCCTATCCATTCCAGAACAGCTTTTTTTTTGTGTTGTTGCATTTGACGATCTACTTGCAGCAATGCTGATGTCAAACCGCAAACGTCTCCCTTTGTTTCAATAACAGCCCGTTTTCATAGCCTATTTAGACAAACGAAGAGATGCTATATGAAAATATGTTAATGAATATTGAACATGCAATGCTTCCCTTGTCGCCTTGCGTTGTATTTACACGGACATTTGTAGAGCACTCTGTAAAACATGGCTGTGCGCTGTTTGCCACTGTAAAGCGCGAAATGATGTAACCCGCACTGCAATACTCCGAGCATACAACACATATTACATGAAAAATAAGGAAAGAGGCACTCACTGTGATTAGATCCGTCCTTTGCTGACATGTCTTCAGTGAAGGGCCAGGCACCCCAGGAGTGCTGGTTAATTGTATGAGCCTGATGCTCTCCGCTGCTGTTGCTGGTTCAGATGCTCTCAGTGAGGAATCAGAGAGAGTTTGAGCGCCACTGCTGAAGATTCAATAGAAAACATCACCGACAGAGTCAGGCACTACAGCGATATACCTAAACCCTCATGTCCTGTTTAGATGGGCTTTACTTCCTGGTTGTTTCGGAGAGACTCCTCCTGTGCGAGTAGAAATAATCATTATATAGTATATTAACCTGTTATTGTCCATTCTCAAACGCTTATATTTTCATCTGACCTAATTAGAAGCCACTATAGAGATATTTATGAAGCTGCAACCCTTTTAACACAAAGTAGAACATTATTTATTTTGGGAGCAGTTTGACCCCAACAAGAACATTGAAATATAGTGTGTTCAAAAAATAAGTCATATCACACACACACAGGCGTGCATATTTGTGATTCATATAGTGGCACATATTCAGTTCAACAGCATGAATATGTGTTATATTGATATTATACAGTAGTTTATACAATAAACAAGAAATTAAAGTGCCAATATTATGCTATTTTAAAGGTTCCTCATTTTGTTCTTTGGGGTCTAATCTTGGTATTGCCTTCATGAATACTGTGTATTCTCACATTGGCATATTTATGTATGTAGCAAGGAATTATGCATATATTTAGATTCAGAGCATTTGTAGCATTTATTCATGTTTTATGGCAAGGGTCTGTGAGAGTACATGCCACTGTATACTGTAACTTAACTTAAAGGTGCTCTATGTAGCTTTTCTTCTAAAATGAATCCTTTTTTTATTGCCTGTGTGTGAAGGGGTTGCAATCACACATTACAATGATCCACTTGTAGGGTTTTGCTATTTCCTCTAAAGGCCAATATTCATATTTATATGTGAAGTCTCCGGGTCGGATTTACCGCGAAATCCATCGGATGTGACGTGCATGTGCGCTCCCGAGCCTCTCTCCTTATATACAGTCTATGCAACGGCACTGCAGCTAACGACATGGAGTCTGATAACACCCCAAAACGACCTGCCTCCAGCACAACACAGACTCCAACACAAACTCCACAAAAATATAAAAAAAAAAAAAAAAGTTATATCTGCTGAAGCTCGTCAGGCCAAACGTGATTCTGATCGACTTAGGACGAAAACACGGATCAACATCGGCAGAGCTTTTGAATTAGTAAACTCTAATGAAATAGCAAGGTAAACTACAACATACATGAGACATGAAATTAATACAAAAGACTGTTCCAGGATAACAAAAAGTAGGTGCTTTAGGATGTCACTTATTTTATGTAGATCTACTGTCTAACGTCACTCATCCCACTACTATCATATTGTTTATAATAAACATTTCCAGACACGTTCAGTACAGTATTACTTCCTACTGTCTTACTGTTACACTGACATTGTTCAGTCTAGTTCACCGTTTTCGTTATCATATTATATATTCACCTATGTTGACATTGCTGATTGTGAAAGATACATGAATAGTTAGTGAAATGCCTTATAGATAACACCACATGTCGGCTAAATGCAGTCAATGTCACGTTATCATGGTACGAGCATGGAGCATTAGTTCAACGTCAAGCTGATAAAAGTAGCCTATTATTGTAACGTTGCAGTGGGAGTTTACATGAGTTTCCAGCATGTTGTGTGATGCTTTCGCCGTTGCGTTGAAAGTCTCCGTGTGGCCGGTAGTGAATGCTCGCTCTTGAGATCGAGCACGCACACAAGCACGAGCGCTCTTGTTGCAATCTGAAACATCACCGCTAGAGGCCGCTAAAAAATACATACAGCACCTTTAACTTAAAAGTTAAAATCTTAATAATTTAGTTATCATAAAAGTTCTTTAGATATTAAATATATGCTTTTGAGTATCAAATCTGCATCTATAAGTAATTTAAAAGGATTTATTGTGGAATCTGTTGTTTGTTGAGAAAATAGCTCCTGAAAAGGAATGGCTTGAGAGCGAGTTTGACATTTTGCTCTAAGCTGTTCCATTCATAGACGTAAACAGCACATCAATGACCCGTGTCTGACTAAAGGAAATTTCCACTGGGCATGTTTTCTTCTCCCCAGGTCCCCAGGTCTTAATGGCTGTACAATCACTACTGCATACTGCATAGACAGATGCTTTGGAGTTTAGATAACACAGTTTCAGGCAAATAAATTGACAACAAACTGATCTTTTATTATTTAGCCTAACAAAACAGTACACCGTAATGGACTCCATCATGCGTTTTAAAACTACAGAGCCAAATAGCATACTTTAGTGTCAAATAAAGTGTTTTAACAGCTATGGTTTTACTATAACATTTAACCGATTGTTTTTTTTTCTCTCTCTCTCTCTCTAAACAGAAACACCACAAATGTAATGAACATGGCTGGGCAACTCTGGCCCTAAAGATCCACTTTCCTTCAGAGTTTATCTCCAACCTTGAGAAAACGTATTTGCCTGCAGCTTTCTAGTAAAGGAAAGTAAATCTCAAGCCCACCCTTGCTCTAAAATAACAGGTTTACTCCCCATTGGTGGTGGAAGGTTAGATAAAATATTCCAAAACTGACCACAAGGTGGCGCCTTGGACAACTTGCTAAGTGTGGAGATGTATAGCTGAACATATGGGAAACGTTATTTGTCATGATTTAATCATGGAAAGAGCCACTACACTGTAAAAATTATTGATTCATCTAGGTCTCAATTGTGATAAATCATCTGATGAGAGTCACTGCATAACCCATAATTATGAATGCATGGAAATCTGCAGACTAATCTCAGTTTGTTCATTTTTAAAGATGCATTTAAAGATAAACGTGTTATATACATCTAAGCTCAAATTAAAAATGGGGGGAACCTCTGATTTACTCAGCTGACTGCTGGCTGGAAGGAGAGAGTGAAATATGCATGACTTGTCTCTTATCGAGACTGTCCTGGTTATGCAAGAATGGATTTGGCACTTAGTCTTTCATAGAACATAATGTCCTCAAACACGCATTCACCATTCAAAACAGAAAAATTTGGATATATTATATTATGTATTTGTCCCTGCATGTCCTAAAAAAAGATCACTGGGGTATAAAGTTCAAAAGAAGTTTTAGCCTAACAAATATTTTCATAATGTTTTCATACATTTATCGTAATTTTTACCTTGATTCAACTTGAGTAATTACTTTTAAATGACTTGAATATGTGTAATTAATTTAATACCACGGGTTGTAACTTTTGCACTTGATTTTATGAAGCCAATAGCCTAATTAAACTAAAGTTCGAAAGGAATGTTTTACATTGTGCTAAAATTAATAAGGTAGCCTACATTATTGTTAACGCAAGCAGCTACCTAAGATTCTGATAAGCATATTAATTTAGCTTGAATTGTTTTCATTATGATCATTACAGTTTATGATGTAAAGAACAGACGTGCTTCTTCTTCAGGACGCAAACAACACAGTGGTCGAGGACTATGTTGCCTGTGTTTATGTCCTCACTGAATGCTTATTTAAGCCTCCACACATGCTATTGGACGGATCTGGAGTAGTAATAGGAAACGCGGTCTCTGATTGGCTGTTGAGTGTTCTTGGGAGAACAGCTGCCGACCTAGACCGTCATATACAGGGCAGTACATGCATTATAAACATCATAGCTATTGATAAAACTGGATCTCTGCAGCTGCTATATCTGGTATATCTCAGTTTCAAACCAATCATCGAAATGAAGTTCGTCAGGTTTATAATGAAGAATGCTGCTTTGGCCAATGTGCCTCATCACATCGAACACTTCTCCAAATTTTCACCTTCTCCACTTTCCATGAAACAGTTTCTCGATTTTGGTGAGTGCTTTTGTGTTATTTGCTCGTGTATGAAATCATTTGTATCCCTAGATTGACAAGAAATACCTTTATAGCCTGAGTATATAGGCGCTGTCTATTGCCAATGGAAGTGCTCGTGTAGTCGCAGAACAGGCAGTTTTATCATGGCATTATTATTATGCACTATGTTCATGATTATGTGCATGATTATGTAGTCGCTCGTGCAATTTACATCTACCTGATGCAGAAATTATTTGATACTGCTCTACCAGCTGTAGCTATGAGATTCGGGAACAAATTGTTCTTTTGATTCGGATCTTTTCAGTGAATCCGCTGACTCGGCTCACAGAATCAGTCTGAATTTGTTTACGAAAATGACTGAACGATACATTTACAAATCTGACTGAATCATCAACTCCCTGATTTGAAATTAAACTTGGGATAGTAAGAGTATTTTGGAGTGAATCAAGGACTGATGGGTTGAAAGCCAAATTACTTTAAGAATAGCAAAAATGCAAAATAAAACGTAGCCTACTTGAATTTTTTTTCGACGTGATCATATTTTTCTTTATTAATATTTTTCTTTAGCCGTTTTTAATAAGTAACATTTTATTAAAACACTCAAACAATTCAGGTAGGAGATGTAAATTTTTTTTAGTAATGTTTACGTTTATGTTTTAGGAGATGAATGGCTGAAACAAACTGAACTGGACATCAATAAATTAAATTGCATTTAATTTAAAATGCATTTTTTCCAACATAATGTTTTATTTGAAAGTTTTAAAGCACCTCGGAGAAAACGCGATGACGTAGTGGCTCAATCTATTTTCTGAACCGGTTCTTTGAAACGAACTATTCAAAAGATCCGATTCGCGGTAATCGGGAATGTTCACATCACTACTGTTGTTCATACTGGTTGTTGGTTGCATCATTTAACTGCTGTTGGCTTTGCCTTGCACCACTGCCATGTTTACGAATATATGCGTCTTATCGACTGTTTAATTGCATTATGAGCAACGTGCATACATTTCAGTCCCGAACTAATACCATTCATACTGTATTTATGACAATTGTGTAGCAGCGTCTGTGTCCAGCGTGCCAAACATATATTGTTTTTACATGTTGTATTTGTCCAGGTTCCACGAACGCATGTGAGAAAACGTCTTTTGCTTTCCTGAGACAAGAGCTGCCCGTACGACTGTCAAACATCATGAAAGAAATCAACTTGCTCCCCAAAAGATTACTTACCACACCTTCTGTACAAATGGTTCACAGTTGGTGAGTTATACAACATTTTACTGTATACACGGATCTACCAAGTATTGTTGTAGAAACGACGGATTGTTTAAAAGACGATTAGATTACCAGAGACGTGTTGTTTATTTTTAGTATGATACGAAAACACCGCGGTCTAACGTTACTTGAGACTAGGCCAAATTCTGAGTTGTGTGACGTAGTAGAGCACGTGAACTTTGTCCCACATTCTACGTCAGGGTGTGGGAGCTACACTTCTTCAAGAAGGGACTGTAAACTTTGTCCCACTTTCACTACCTCGTGCTTTAACGCGTCAAACTTACCCTTGTTTTTCCTTTCAGGAAGAGTGTAAACTTAGGAATAGCAAAAACAAAACAGCCTGCCATTAATATGCATGGTATGCAACTGTTAAACGGTTGTTTTTCCACAGATATTTGGTCAATGTTTCTGTGAATTGCATCCGTTTAGTGCAATACGTTTATCGCACATCTTAACTGAAATCTCAGATTTGCAGTTTGTATTAATTATAATTTCCTTAAATGAACTAAATATAGGCCTACATGATGTCACAAAGATTCTGCAAAGAAGTTAGCAGAAGAGTCTCTGAACAAGCTTGTTTCCCAAAGTTTTTTTTTATTGCATTTATTGGCATACATTCAAATCATATTGCTTTTTTGTGTTCTAAGGTATACTCAGAGTTTGATGGAGATCTTGGAATTCCTGGAGAAAAGTCCAGATGACCACAGTGTGTTAGAAGAGTAAGTTGAAATTAATTAAATTAAAGAAATTAAATCTTATTGGCCTCAAAATCAAAAGAAAAACAAGAAATTATATTTAGAAGCATGTTTAACCACCATCAAGATTTTTGCATTGTTTGCCATTATTTTCATGGCAATTAAGCACATTTTCCTACAAAACTTCTCATGATTATAATGCATCAGGGTGTTTTATGTTAAGTAAAAAAAATGCATTATATCGAGAAAGAATTGAAAGGATTGTCTAATTATTGTCCTGAAAATTATTTTGGTCATAAAAATATGCTTTGTTGTCAAACTAAGTATGTACACTTCGTATTTCTTTCCTTGTTCATTGCACATTTTAACACTCTTGACTCTGCACACAGGTTTGTGGATGCTCTGGTCAACATCCGAAACAGGCACAATGATGTTGTACCCACTATGGCCCAAGGTGTGATTGAATATAAAGAAGTATTTGGTCAAGATCCAGTCACTAATCAGAATATTGAGTATTTCCTGGATCGTCTCTACTTGAGCCGGATATCCATCAGAATGCTCATAAACCAGCACAGTAAGCACGATATTAAGGCCAAATAATACCTCTGAGCATCAGTGCTTCTTAAATTCCTTGTATTTATGTTATTTTCTCTGATTTTTCAGCTCTTGTATTTGATGGAGCCACAAATCCAGTTCACCCCAATACCATTGGCAGTATAGACCCTCATTGTCAGGTGGCAGACGTTGTTAAAGGTATAGTGTGAAAAATCTATCTGATAAAATCCACAAACATGTATGAGTGGGTGATTGTATAAAAAAATCATCAATTACTCACCCTTATTCCAAATCTGTAAGACTTAAGGTCATTTTTGAAACACAAATGAAGATATTTTAAATGAAATTCTGAATTTCTGTCCCTCCATTGACAGCCTACGCAACTACCACACCATAATATATGTGAATACAAGTCTAAATTCAATCTGTTCGTCATATAAAGCGACCTTGTCTCTTCAGAAAATTTGGACTAAACCGCTCAATTCATATTGATTAGTTTTACAATCTCTTTACAAATTTTTTGAATCGTCAAAGTGGTATTTGCTTTGCTGCCAATGGAGCGACAGAAAGCTCTCAGATTTCATTAAAAAGATTTGTGTTGTGAAGATGAGGGTGGGTAGTTGTTGACAGAAGTTTCATTTTTGGGTTAACAAACCATTTAAAATCAGTGACCCATCTGTTTAGTCAATACACGAACACTTATATGTATCTAAAATATATTGTCTCAACACATTTTTCATGTAGATGCATATGAAAGTGCCAAGATGCTGTGTTATCAGTACTACCTCTGCTCACCTGACCTGGTACTTCAGGAACTCAACAGTAAGATCAGATAAATATCATTAATGTTCATGTTAAATACCATGTAAAATCACAGTATATATTTAAATCTATATTTGTATTTAATATCTAAATGTATTCCATATTGGTTCTACAGTATTTGTTTCATGCATAATAGCTTAGAGCTAAGCTGTTATAATAGATGTTTTAGCAGCTATAGACAATATTGACACTGACTGTTCTTCCTTTTACAGCTAACAACAGGAACCAGCCTATCAGCATTGTGTATGTGCCTTCCCATCTGTACCATATGCTATTTGAACTGTTCAAGGTGAGCTGTAGCCCATCTCATATTCTGCCCTGAAACAATGCTGTTTACGTAAGATCTGAATGTTGTCATGACGACATGGTTTCTTCCTCAGAATGCAATGAGGGCGACCATTGAGAACCATAAAGAAGGCAGTAATCTTCCACCCATTGAAGTCATGGTGGCCATAGGAGGAGAGGACCTCACTATCAAGGTGATTTTTAATTTGAACAAGCATAATTTGTTGTAGACAAATAATAATAATAATAAAAAAGGTTAGACATTTTCATGTCAATTATGCACATTTTCCAATAAATTCTCATTCATGTGTTAAACTCAGAAAAAGTTCATAGGATTTGTCAGTTCACTGACACCTTATTGATTGTAGTGTGATGTAACTGAAGCCATCAGTCATTATCCTATCAGTAAAACACCTGCTGTTGCATAACACAGTACATGAGAGCTGACTGACCTTGTTGTTTAGTCACCTTGACAATGCTGATTTGAGTCATTCACTTGCTAAACAGTTGTGTTCAGGGGTCAAAGTCACGGCCAGTGCCCGTCTGTCGGTCTTGCATCTCCCTCTCACTGTTAGCCCAGTTTTTTTCTCTCTGTGCCCTAATTCACTCTCTCATTATTTTTCTCCTTTTTTTTCTAGTTTTTATTATAACAATGTCTTCTTTGTCTTTGTAGACAAGTGACCGAGGTGGTGGAGTTCCATTCAGAAAGATGGAGAATCTCTTCAGTTACATGTACTCCACAGCACCAACACCCCAGATGGATGAGAAACAAATGGCTCCCCTGGTGAGACTTCACCGCATTATACATAAAATACAAATAGATTGCAAGATATATCATTTAAACGGTCCTCTTCACAGAGTTATTATAGTTAATGGAGTAGTTCACTTAAAAATGAAAATTCTGTCATAATTTACTCACCCTGCAACAAGTTGTTTGCAGCAATTTGAGGGTGAGTAAATGATGACGGAATTTTCATTTTTAAGTGAACTAGGCCTACTCCTTTAACTAAAGCTAAAAAAAATATGCATGTTACCTGAATTAAAATAAGCATTAGCTGAAATAAAACATTTCATTTCATTTCAGCTTTCCAAAGCAACATTTCTCATTTTCTTTCAGTTTAACTTCATGTACTAAAATAACTGAAACTAATACTAAAATAAAAGTGTATAAAAACTATACAGACATATTAATAAAAAAACTAATATAAATGACAAAAAACACAACACAATTACTAAAACATTAACTAAAATGAAAATGAAAGCGGAAAATATACAAATGAAAACATAATGCAAAATATAAATAAAACTAAAAAAGTATCAAAGTAAAAATAACACTGCTTCTTTATAATATTATCCACCTTTTGTCCACAGGCTGGGTTTGGTTATGGGTTGCCCATTTCTCGACTTTATGCCAAGTACTTCCAGGGTGACCTCCAGCTCTACTCTATGGAGGGCCATGGTACTGATGCGGTCATTCACCTGAAGGTACATTTAAAACCTTCTTAAAGGAATAGTTCACCTAAAATTGAAAATTCGGTCCATTTTCAGAAAATGAAAATTAGGTCATTATTTACGTCATTCCATTATTTGTGGAGCTCCAAACCTGTATGACTTTATTTCTTCAGTTGGACACAAATTTTAAAGATAGTTTAAAGAATGTTTCAACTGATTTTGTCCATGCAATTAAAGGTGCAGTGTGTAGATTTAGCGGCATCTAGCGGTTCGGTTGCGAGTTGCACTAATGGCTCAGCCCACTGCTCACCCCTCCCTTTCGAAGAAGCTACGGTAACATCGTCGTCTGAGACAGCAGAGAATAGCCAGAGTAAGCCAAGTTTCTGAACCACAGTCCATTATAAACCACATCATGGATAAAGTTTACAAAGCCATAGTCAGGTGAGGATCAAGGGTCTTAATCAGTGTTTGGCAAGTTACTTTTAAAAAGTAATTAGTTACAGTTACTAGTTACTTCTTCCAAAAAGTAACTAAATTAGTTACTCAGTTACAAATTTTAAAAGTAACTAGTTACTTAAGAAAGTAACTATTGCGTTACTTTCAAGTAAAATTACATTTTAAATGCTCAAATGTGCCCCACCTCTACCCTGTCCGACTATGCGTTATGATGGGTCGTTCGCAATTCATGAGCGTTAGCCGTTAGTGATGATGGGTCATTCGTGAATGAGCGTTAGTGATAATGGATCGACTCGTTCGCGAATGAGCCTTTGATGGGCCGTTCGCGATTCACGAATGAGCCGATCGACTCTAAGAGCCGGCTCTTTTAGGTGAACGTCGGGAGCTGGCTCGCATATCTGAAGAGCCGACTTTATTTTTTACAAATTTAGCCTATAGAAGTTAAATAACTATGTAATAAAAATTGAAATATTATAGTCAAAGTCATTTAAAGAGCCGTTTGTGAGCCAAAAGAGCCGGCTCTTTTCAGTGAGCTGAGTCAAAAGAGCCGAATGCCCATCACTACTATGCGTGCTTTCGAACACCCGCCCAACTCTACCTCTGATTGGCTTACAATGACATTTTACTCTACCTCAGCCAATCGTCATCATTTATAAATACTACATATTTTACACCACTGACAAGGGAAAAGTCACTACTCACGGTGTCTATGGATAGCTTCTAGCTTTCTGCTGCTTCTCTTTCAAGGTATGAACGAAACAGACTCTGTACCGCTGTTTGTTCGCTGTCGGCTACGGTAGAAACATGACGTCACAATATGTCGACCTTCATAGAAGGGGGTGCCCACGGTTATGTAGATATAAATGTCTCATTCTAAGGTATTAAAAACATTACGGTTCATTGAGTAAGGTCTTTATACACCACTGAACACATAGTTATGGATCTTAAATTGCATTTCTGTCAATAGATCCTCAGAAATATTACACATTGCACCTTTAAAAATCAATGGGGTTCAATGTTGACAGGTTTGGAACGATACTATTGACAGATTTGGAACTATCCCTTTAAAGCACATGTGTCAAACTCCACACCTGTCCTAAAGAGTTTAGCTCCAACTAGCTCCAAAACACCTGCCTGGAAGTTTTTGGGGCTGTGTCCAAAATCAAATACTTCCCTGCTTTATAGTATGTTGAAAACAGTTCGCCAAAAGAGTAGGTAAAAATGTACCCGGATAACCTACTACTTCCGCAGAGATTCTGGAGTGTGCATTTGATTGACACTTTACTATCCCATGAGGCCACAGGAAAGGATTTATGAATGAAAGTGCCCAAGGAACTGAGTTTGACACCCCTGCTTTAAAGTCTTTGGAACGTGTTTAAAAATGCTAGGAACTTGTTGTAAATGAGAGTACTTAGAATACTTTGTGTTGTGTTCTAACAGATTACATAATGTTTTTCCCTCAGGCTTTATCCACCGACTCAGTCGAAAGGCTCCCCGTGTTTAATAAGACAGCTCGACGGAACTACGAGGTCACGCAGGGGGCAGATGACTGGTGCGTTCCCAGTCGAGAGCCACTGGACCTGGCCAGGTTCAGACTGGCCAAGTGAAAAGAAGCATGAAGCCTCCAGGAAGGAAATAGGACAGTTCTCTGACCTTCTGACATGAGTGAATGGGAAAGGACATGGTGTCCACATGGCAGAGCCCCAAGTCTCCACTCACCGTGAAGCCGCGTGTAGTCTCACAGCAATACCGTAGTTGTTGCATGCAATGGTTTTCCTCTGCACCACCACCATGACTTTATCATATCATTTTTTTATTTGAGAAACTAGGCTTTGTCACAGTGTTACCTGCAGACCATACTAACTCATATGAAGTGGAACAAAGTGCCAAGATAATCCTTTATTGGAAGACTGTTTAGTGGACGTTCCAGTGTGGAAAAGTGAGCCAGACGGTCAATTTACTTTCTGAAGCCTGCGTTAGCAGACAAGGGCCGTCTAGACTAGTTATTGGAACCAGAAAGTGACAACAGGCTTATGCCAAGGAACTTAAAAGCACATAAAATCAAAGATTAAGGGCCAAGATTGGGTGATTAAAATCCATATGCAACCTATGATGTGTCATTTATGTAAGAGTGTGCTAGAAGAACATGTTGCACTGCAATAGTAATGCTGAAATCAAAGAACACTTGTAATTAAATGAGTTTGATTGCTGAATGTAGGAGTGTTCATACTCAGAATGGCCAAACGCTGAGAGAAAGAGATCATAGAGGCCATAATTGTATCTGTACTAGTGTGTGGCCAAATATATGTCCCCTAGTATTTTCTTCACACTTGAGTTGAAGGCGCTAGAAGGGGATCAGTTGGAATGTACCAATTATCTCATTGATTTAAACTTGAAACACTTACAACTGAAATGCACCGAGCATTTCAAACACAGTGTTTTGTGCATGTTTATTCTTAAACATGCTGAAGCATTTTAGATACCTCATCGACTGAAGATAGTTTGTCAACTCTAAGACCTTCACTCAGCTGTTGCCTTTTTCAGATTTGTGGTTCTCTGCGTATATTATACAGCATGAAATCAGAGCTTCTAATTTTAAGACTGCTCTATTGAGAGCATGCCTACTGTATTAAATCAACCATCTGCTTTGAACTTGCACCATGTAACCTTACATGTAAGGACCATATTTTGTGTATTTATGTTTTTGTCGTGTTATTCCAGAAAATCTAAACTTTATTTTTGTAATATGTTTTCCATCTAAAGCAAATGATGAGTATAGAATTTAAATAAACAATTTTTGTCACTTATGTTGTTTATGGGAGTCATTTATGAGTCAACAAGTACTCTGAACTCTATTGATGGTTTTATTAGCGCAAGGGTGGATTATAGAGAGGACAAAGATGATTGACAGGTGTGGATCGAGATACTACACACATTGATCCTTTGCCCAGTAAGGCAGAGGTTAAATTTCATAGTAAACAACATACCTTTTAAGGTCAGAGGTTGCATGGAAAGTGAGTTGGCATGAATGGAACAAGAAGTACGGAAGAAACAACGGACTTAGCAAATCAGATGTGCAGTGATAGAACAAAATTAGTTCCTGCTAAATGTGAAAATAACGTCAGGATCATTTCGTGTCCGTAGAGACTGTGTTCTTGATGGATTAACTGCTTGATAAACAAGTGCTCCTCTTACAATACATCACATACCATAAAGCACATGCTATGAGGTACTCCATATGAGGATAGCTTGTTTACATGCAGGAGCCTCTGGAATGTGTTAGGCCTTGGTAAACAATAAATCAATGTGATAACCTTTCTAATTACTTTTCATTTTTGAGCAATCATAGCTAGCTTCTGCACATATTCAGTATGTTTGAGTGGTGTGTTTTTTTTGTCATGTCTCACATCTCCACACTCTCAGATAAAGTAGTAACTTACAGAAAATGGGATACAGCAGCTTGGCACTGAGACAGAAACCTTAAAAATGGAACTAACACATATTTTTAGGCACTAATATATGGACCCTTAAGTATGGAAACCAATTTCCGCCACCTAAAAAAAACATGCTTTGGTAAATCATAATTATGAACAAAGCACTTTTTTCTCATGTGGCTGAAATGGGCTCCCATATTTAAAGTTATAGTTTACCAACAAATAAAAACAGCAAACTAATCCTCTTGACTTAAGCTCTATATAATACACTAAAAGTTGAATATAATAAACAGAACGTTATCGTCTGTTGGTCTGTCACGATCTGTGTGTTTGGTGTCGTTTTCGTGGACTTTTAGTTTGCATTCGTCAGATACCTGTTTCCTATGTTTGTTTGTTTTTTGTTCCTATAGTTTCCCGCCAGTCTTTAGTTGTCATGGACACTCATTAATTATCACAGCTGTTTGTCATTGTCTCATCATCACTGTGTATTTAAGTTCCTCTTTGTGCTCACTGCAGTGTCTGCTATTGTTTGTGTCTTTGTTGCATGTTTCTTGCAATTGGATTATCTGAGTTTGTTTTATAAATGAATACTTTGTTTGGGAACCTTTTTTAATCTTTCTTTTCATCATCTGAACGTATATGTGACATGGATGCTAATATAGTTATGGTTATTATTATTTTTGTGTGAACAGTCTTTTACACACCCTCATGTCATTGTAAACCTGTATGACTTTCTTTCTTCAATAAAACACAAAAGAAGATATTTTGAAAAATGTCTCAATGTTTTGTCCATACAATGAAAGTCAGATGTGGTTTTGGACATGACTTTAATTGTATGGACACAAACATTTGAAACATTCCATTTGAGGGAATGTTATTTTGGTTTGGAACAACTTTTTAATTAGCAAATTTTACATTACTATGCCAAAAAAACAAAAAGCTCACGGAAAGCATATGTTGATGATACAATATAATCAGCTATTAATATTTGGTTGGTTCTCCCTTTTTTTTTTCTTTTTTTTTTTGGCATGTTCATAATTTCTTTGTATGACAGCTAGGCCAAAAATGGTGCGGAACAATTCGGCATGTTTCTTTGCGTTATCACACATAACACAATTGAATCCAAGCACATTTACACAATATGCTTACAAAATCTTTAACACATTTGTAATAATATTGGACAAAAGGGTGTTTTTTTCTAGGCTGGACATCACTTTTGGCCACTACCGTATTTATAGCGCCATGCAGACAGGTGCAGAAGACTGCATGATTATCTAAGTTTTAAAAAAGAGACCGTAACAGATGACTTTCCCTTTAGAGTGCCCTGTTATGCAGCTGTTAAAGACTGAACCCTCATGTGCTAGAATCTACAGAGACGTCACGTGCGGGTATAGCAATGAGCGGTTCCAGGAACCATGATAGGAAAAGTACAGCCCTCAGAGAAGGCCATAAATGATGGAGTGTGTTGCTCTGCGGGTGAGTGGAGATGTGTGGGGTTGGGGGGTGCGTAATGTATGCAAACATATCACAGTTCACAACAGGCTGTAATGGGATTGTCCAGGTGGCTGTTCTCTTTCTAGCATGCCTGTCATTCCCTAGGGCGGTTTACTGATGTCTCCTGCTTATGTAAAGGGCCTGTGCTTCACATCAAAACATGAACATTGTTTTCCTGGGTGGACTATTGTACTGACTGGACTGGTCTTATCTAATCACACAGTCGACGGCTCATTTCTCTGTTGACAGTGAGAGCTGAGGTTGCTGCCAAGTATTTTAATATATTACCAAATGGTCTGTGGTGTGTTGCTGCAGTTAAGGAATGAGAACAAAACACAATGTTCTGTTGACCCTATTCTATTATTATGCCCAGATGAGTTAAGATTGGATGCAATTTAATCAGAAGGACTTTTGTCAATAATTAGACACCAGTGAAACACATTACTCCCATTTTACTCATTAAACCGGTTTGATTTTGTTTTTACAATGACAAGTAAGTACTTTATTGGGATGTTTGTTTTATACAATATTGCCAAAGCATCAGTACTCACAACACACACACACACACACACACACACACACACACACACACGCAAATGTGCCATAATAATAGGCTATACAACAAAATGCAACAGAATAAAATTTAAATCCTAAGACAATATCACAGTGTCATTTTAGCATCATTGAGATTCTATTATAGTTTATATTAATATTTATTATATATTTATTGATTAATGATTATATATTTATGTTTTCTGTTTTCATTTTAATTTCTGTTAAAGTTTAAGTAGTTTTGTTGTGTGTTTTTTTTTTCATTTTGAAAAGTTTTTTTTAAAATATGTCAATATATTGTTTTACAATACATTGATTATACTTATTAAAATACGTTTTTTAAATATTTTATTTGAATTCAGGTAACAAATTTTTTTTTTTTTTATGGTTTTAATTTTAGTTTTATTTTCAGTTAATGACCTTGGGCAATAATAAGCACTAGACTAGTGAATATGATGTCATGTGACTTGTCATGTGGTTTCAGAATGATGCTTGAAAAGGCAAAATCTATAACAGTCAAATAACTTGTTAAATTGCAATACGAGAGTAAGTAATTGCTAACTTGGTAAATCATGACTAAAACCTGGTCGATCACAAAAAGCTAATTAACTTTTCCAAATGCTCAAACAATGAAAACTTGGTTTAGTGTCAAAATACTGGCCTAGCCTTAATTGACCTTGTTCCTTTCAAAACATATTTTAATGCATTTTCTTCTTTGTTTTTGTTTGTTAACATTGCACATATTTCTACCAATAAGTTGAACTCATTTTAACTTATTTCAAGGAATTAATTTTAATAATATTTTGCATGCATATATGCAAAACATTTTTGCACAACATTTTCTGCTGACCTCATGAGCTTCAAAAACTGCCTGTGGCTACTTTTCATGTGCATGTTAGCACCTTATTTGTGAACAGTGTCACCAGAGTTTCATGTAAGAAAAGGTTGGTGTGAAAGTCTGACCAGAAACTTCCTTCTGCAGGGCTGTAGTGTTCAACCCCACTGTAGCAGTATATAAACTCTATCCTATATAGTTGACTTGCATAACGCATAGAGATCTGCTCTTTGTGAAAAGGTAAGCTTCAAATGTTTATAATTTCAAAAAAAAAAAAAAAAAAAAAAAAAAAACATAGATCACTTAAACCAAATCACTTAATTTAATTACCTGTAAATCCGAAGAGTTTGCATTCTTGATTGAGGCAAATTAACCTAATAGAAAATCCATTTTTAAATTAGAAATATACTTCATATTATTATTTATTTTTATTAAAAAAAAATGTGTATAGATAAATAATACAGTCTAATGCAGCTTTTTGTTTTGTTTTAACCTTTAGATGCTTTCCTTATGCATCCAAGTGTTTGTGGTACTGGTTGTATGTGCAGCTGACACTGAGAACAGAGATATCTCAGTAAGTTCTGCATGATCAAATTGGTTAATATAATTAATGTTATGAATAAAATAAGACAACATTACATTACAATTTTCTCACATTATAACTGCAGTACTATGCAAATGTTACATTTCACATTATTTCATTGCAATATCTTCCAGTATACATT